AAAAATCAATCTCTTGATTTTCAACGGCTAGATTGAAGATAATTATGCTGATTCAAGAACAAATGACTCGAAGACAAAGTCTGGCCCTCTAAATTGAAGAGCCTGTCCAGAATTCCTAAACAAGCACAAGAAGACAAACAGAGTAAAGTGCTACAGTTCAGAATTCTTGAACAACAGCTAGAAGACGGATTCTGAGAAAAATGGAATCACTTCTCAAACAATTGGGTATGTCCAAACACCCACTTCAACGAAGAATCTTCAAATCACAATCTTCATTCAAAATTGAAGCCAGCAAATGCAACGGATAGTCTATTATGATTCAACGGATAGACTATCCAATCCAGCTATAAATAGCATCCTTGGAATGACTCATCCTTGCAAGTCCTATTGTTCAGATCTTGCAGTTGTTGAAGAAGCGTGACCTTCGAAGGAACAACAAAGCCAGCACGAGTGCAGTAGCAACATTGGTCTTGCGAAGATATACCGTGCAGAAATTCACACAAGTGTAATTATTGGTTCATTATTCAACAACCAACTACATAGTGGATTTTGAGGACGTAGAAGGATTACCCCACCTTCGAACCTCGTTAAAGTTTGCGTGTCTCTCTCTTTTATCTTTACTCTAACTTGCAAATACATTAACTGTGAAAACTAACCCATCCATATTGATTACTGCTCACTCTACCCACCAAATTCCGCACACAATCTAAAGTTCTCAAGAACTCTAGATTAACACTTATTTTCACGTTTTTCAAAAGAAACGAAAAAGATTTTAAATTTGTAACAAAGTCTATTCACCCCCCCCCCCTCTAGACTTTGTATCTCACCACTTTGGGACCACCATCATTTATCCTAGTCATCAATTAACATAACATCCAATAACAAGTAGCGGTCTAGTTTCGAGTGATAACACTCTAACTTACCGTCATGCATCACATAAGGTTTATTTGTTAAAAACATCATTTTCATAGTGGAAAATCATCCTTATAATAATCATAATCAATTGGTATCAAAAATAGGATAACCATGTTTTCTAAACAATAATCGATTAATATATGACAGGAAAATCGAGTAATTGCTACTGACTTCAATTTCTTCACTGGAATGATGTAAAAATCGATTTTTTCATGTTCAATAATCGATTTTTGTGTAAAAATAATCGATTTTTGGGTTCTGAGTTTGATTTCCTGACCAGAATAAAAATATAATCGATTTTTCATGCAATAATCGATTATTAGTCGTCTTCTTCCTCGAGCCAACTTTCGGAAATGTCATTTTTAGTCACCAAACTTCAATTAAAGTATATAGAAGGGTTCTCCAAGGTTCATAGATCATTTTGGTACCATTAGTTTGTAGTTTTAACAACAATTTCAAGGTTTATGATTCTTGGTTCTTCAAACATGTCAAACAAAAAACTCAACCAAATGAACGTTTATGAACGTAGAAACGATCTATATGAACATTCTAGTCATTAGATTTATCTACAGGCTTACCTCGAAGCTTTTCGAAGGTTTTGAGAATTTTCCGGCGAAACTTCCGGCGACGATTACTCCCAACTCCGGCGACCTCTCACCAAAATAATGGCACCACTGTACTCCTCTCTCAACAAGGAACAGAATAGGATGAAGAATTGTGGAGAATGGTGAAGAAATGAGGAAATTGAAGTCGGCTTATATAGTGGTTGTGGTGAGGAAGAAGCGAGGATGTCTCCTTCACAATATGTGCGGTCAGCGTAGTGCGCACGACGGTGATTCTAACAGTTCATGAATCTCAATATGTCATATCGTTAGCAGACTGTAATATGAGCGAGTACGTCGTTGTTAGTAGGAAATTCGAATCCATCCTTGGTGTACAAATTTCGACTAAGGATAACTACCCCTTTTCAAAAATCAGGTTTTCAGAGCCTATATATATCACGATTGTGGCAAGAGTATCTCACATTCTCATACTATGGAAGGAACTTCTCGAACTTTTCCTTACACCATAAAATTCATTGGTCTACTTGGTAGTCATGCTCTTGGTAGAAATCCAAAGTTCATGGCTACAGCGGTAGATTTAGGAAGGGAATTGGTAAGGCGAAAAATCAGGATTACCTATGGAGGAGGCAACGTTGGCCTTCAAGGAGCTGTTGCTTCAACAGTCTATACCAATGGTGGTATAGTTAGAAGCTTCATACCAGGGTACATAGCAGCACGACAGGTTTACGGACCTACATATGGTGTAGAGTACACCGTTTCCAGCAATTACTATATGTACTTCGAAATGAATCATGTTGTAGAAGCTTTCATCATACTTCCTAGGGGAATTGATACTTTGGAAGGTTTGTTCACTTTGATCTCATGGGCATCCGAAGGGTTGCACAGTAAACCCATTGGTCTCTTGAACATTGACGGCTATTTTAATAACCTAATCAAATTTCTAGATGACGCGGTGAGGCAGAACTTCATGGCTTCCTGTCTGAGGAAACACTTCATCTCTTCTTTCTTTATTGATGAGCTTTTAGACAAGCTAGCATTTGCTAAAGCTTTTCCAGGTCCTGGGGCTAGTTATGACGAGTTTGTAAATCCCGGAAGATTAGACTTAGATTTGCATTTGTAACGTTTCTTATGTAATCGAAATTGTATTCGTGTGGAAATAATATTGTCCATGAATATTATGAGTTAACCACAAATATTATTCTAAGTTGCATTGCCAGTACAAGTTAGAAAAATATTTATTTCCATCATCAGAATGAATCATGTAAATATCAAATGTTTTCTTAAGGTGGGTCAAATGAAAGATTTCACTATACAAAGTGTTTAACACACTTAGGTTCAAGAAAATACGAATATTCTTGAGATACAAATCGAAAGATAATTTCTTGTTTACATAAGGTTTCTACATTATTCAATATATCTTCGAGCCCTTGTAGTACTTTAGGATCTTCATAGAATATCATCCTTGGGTTGGATTCTTTGAATTGTTTTGTGTTTTAGAACGTTGACTTGTTCCTGAGCGAACAGGTTGATTTTGGACAGAAGTAACTGAATATGATTCAGGGTTAGAGGGACATTCTCGTCGGAAATGTCCAGGTTCACCATAAATTAGACATAATCCTTTGTGCAAGCCAGCAATCTCCCGGATGGTGTCTTTTACAATCATTACACTTTGGATGTTTCCATACCCTCATTTTGTTCATGGATGACGTCGATTGAATTGTCATTGATTTTCCCTTTTTCGAGTGTATGGCACAATCGATTTCTTGCAAGGGTCTCTTCCCACTTGAATTTGGTGGTTCATTTGGATTGTCACTCTCAGTCTTCAAACTTTCATAGTAATCACTTAGATCTTTTTCAGCTTTGGAGATTAGATCTTATGCTTCAATGAAATCTATAGTTTGAATAGTAGATACGTGCGGCCTGAGATCAGGTCGAAGTCTTTTGCGAAACTCCTCAATGCGATCAGCCGCTGTGCTCACCAGTGTGGGTGCAAATTGAGCGAGGTGGACAAATTTTTTTGGTATTCAGGGAGTGTCATATCTCCTTGCTTCAATTGAATAAATTCAGCACGCTTCTCTTCACGGAATCGGGCTGGGATATATTCCTTCTTGAACGCCCAATCAAAGAATTCCCAAGTCCAAGGTTTGGGTGTGTTTGGATTTTCGTCAGTGCGTTTCCACCATTCGTAGGCTTCCTTGCGAAGTAATTGAGATGCAAATTTTGGATGATCAACAAGAGGTATGTTCAAATTTTGTAGTACACGAGCGGTCTGCTCAATCCATTCAAGAGCAATTTGGGGTTCGGCAATTCGATCTCCTAGAAACTTCTCAGTACCATTATCTTTCAAAGTTTTGAAAGTGATCAAATGAGGTGGTGGTGGAGGGGGTTGAAACACAGGGGAATTGGTCATTTGTTGCAAGAAGTTTACCATTAAGGTAGGTAGCATAGCATCAGGTTGTCCTCTAATATTTTGATTATTTTGGGAAACATTTTCTTGCCCATCGTTTGGCACTTGGTTACTTTAATCGTGAGCAGTTTCTTGACTCATTTTACAATAACAGAAATTCCTTCATTAGGATTCTTGACTTGCATAGACGAGTTGACAACGGATATTTATTCTATCAGACTACATCAATGTTTATTCAACAAGATTTAGCTGTTTATAGCTTCTAACAAGTAGGTTCTTTGACCGAGAAAGTTGTCAGTTTGTAGCAAAGGATAACGACTCTTTATTGTCAGTTCGTTCAAATTTCTTAACAGGGATTATTTGATAGTATCTTTACGGTAAGTCAATCTTAGAGAACACAATGGATCTTCTAAGCAGATCAAATAAGTCATCGATATGAGGTAAAGGATAACGATTTTTTTTGGTAGTTGATATAGAGTTTTATCGATCCATCCTTATTTGCGAATTCTTTCGAGATGAACTCGGTTGGTTTAGTAATCAGCTTTGCTTTCACCTCTATGAGGTTACCATCATTGGTCTTCAGTTGAAGAGTTTTCAACAACAATGTCATTTAGTCAGCCAATTCATACTAAGGATAACGTCAATTTCCTTGTATGGTATTTCAACAAGGTTTAGCCAGGAATTGTTGCTTTAACGAACCATTTCGATTAACAAGATATAACGAACGGAACGAAAATACTTTAGATAACAGAGTTTATTGTTTCTAAACATTCGTGTTTGAATCAGCGATCCGATCATGTTGAGTCCACTTGAGGATCTCCAGCACCGGGTTCAGAGATGATGTTCGTAAAATCAACATTAATCGTTTCTTCAGAGTCGTCTTACTTCCACACGACTTTGCGAGGCAGATCAGTTTCGTTATTCGCGATGCGATAAGTACGTTAATAACGTATAAGGGAGTCATAATTTGTTTTAATTCTTTCGTCTCTTAACCGAGTCCAAAAAGTTACTTGAGTCTATGCTCGATATAGTTTCAGTACTAACGATTGTTCTCTAATGAGAATTCTAACAGAATCAATATTTTCCAAGTAATTTCTCATACCTTTCTTGAGGCAGAGGGATGCGAGAGTCGTGGATGTGACTGACACATTTTTTTTTAAATTCAAATTTTTGATCCGAAGATCAGTTTTAAAACCATTTGCTCTGATACCAAATTATAACACCCTAATCCGTCCAGGTCTGCAGCCCCATTCGAACTAAATTATTTAACTTGGTAATCGTAAAAATTTAAAACTTTTGAATCACACTTTATTAATCCCAATAATATTTTTCATAACATATACAGTATAGAGTATTCAACAATATTGCGGAAGCTACTTTAATATTGAGATATCAAAAATTGTTTCAAAACTTGTCACATCCATCCCGACAATCTCGCCCCATCTGCCGCCAGGATTACATTGTGCTTTCTGTTTACATGCGTGTAGCAAATAAAACACACTACACGCTCAGTGGTAAAGCTGAGTAAGCATATCTAATGCGTCGAACATCCATATAAACTGAATCTAAATTCATAATCAAATCATTTGATATCATGCACACAATGTTCATTTCAGACATTCACAGTTTTGGTATTGTTCAGTTCATATCAATACATTTTATTCAATTCAGATACTATTTCAATAGTGCTCTTAAATTATTCTTAATCTAAGGCCAGATTATAACAATGCTCTTAGCTATTCTTAGTCTAAGGCCAGATCATATTAATGCTCTTAGTTGTTCTTAGTCTAAAGCCAAATCATAATAATGCTCTTAGCTATTCTTAGTCTAAGGCCAAATCATAATTTCCATAACCAGATTCAAAAAAGGCAATCATTAATCAGACACTTAAACTATCATTAGTTTAAGGCAAATGATTTCGGACATTTAACTGTAGTCAGTCAAGGCAAAAACAATATAGCGAATGATCAACATTGGATCGGGCATTCCCAAACGAGTGATCCTCTAGTTTGGACTACAAATCCCGTTTATGCATTTTTATCTAATCCATCAACTATTCATGTTTTCATAAATTCATTCTAAGATCTATGCTAGAGGTCTTCTAAATAGTCTTAACATCAATTAGATAAAAGATATATCTTAAAGTTTACTAGATATCCTTAACAATACACACCATTTTCTTGTTGATCAATTTATTCAATTTAATCATGGTTCAACCATTATTAGTCATTTTAATCAGTAGATTCATCATTCATAATCATCCATAATAATCATTTATCCTAGTCATCAATTAACATAACATCCAATAACAAGTAGCGGTCTAGTTTCGAGTGATAACACTCTAACTTACCGTCATGCATCACATAAGGTTTATTTGTTAAAAACATCATTTTCATAGTGTAAAATCATCCTTATAATAATCATAATCAATTGGTATCAAAAATAGGATTTCATAGCTCAAAAACCATGTTTTCTAAACAATAATCGATTAATATATGACAGGAAAATCGAGTAATTGCTACTGACTTCAATTTCTTCACTGGAATGATGTAAAAATCGATTTTTTCATGTTCAATAATCGATTTTTGTGTAAAAATAATCGATTTAAGGGTACCTTTCTACAAATGGTCTTTTTTGATCTTCTGCTAATTTAAAGGCTAAAAGTATAATTTGACATCAACATTATGTCTAGTGACGTGTTCTGATATTGGTTAAGCGGATAACACAAAAATAATGACTATGATTGTGGGCTATGATTCTGAAGAAAGATCACAATTGTAGACTATCGTTGTCGTAAAAAGCGACTGTAATTCACAAACGACGCAAACGGAACAGCCTTTGGAATTGTGTATGACAAAAAAGATATATTATCATTGTAAAATTACACTTTTAGCCCTCAAATTAACACCAACATACATGATAGAAGATCAAAAAAGGACTATTTGTGAAAAGGTACCTATAAAAGAAGGACCACTGGAATAATATTTGGTAATAGAAGACTAAATAGGGAAACCCCTGTTATAAAAAAGGATCAATTATAGAATTTAATCTAATTTAAAAACTTAAATGTAGCGATAGAAAGAGTTGGTATATGGTACATCCGGATGTACTTAGAAATAGGTACATCCCGGTAGTACCCATTCTGAAATAGAGTAGTACTCATTCTCGTACAAATATTAACATTCATTTCGAAATACGTAGTACTCATTCTGACAAAGGTATTACTCATTTTAAAATAAAGTACTCATTTTTACACATTTGTCTAATATAATTATAATAAATAGCGTAGTGTTCATTCTTAAAAAAACAATACTCATTCTCAAATAAGGAAATATTCATTCTGAAATAAAGTATTGTTCAATTTTTTCACAATTAAAAAGTTCAGTACCATCATCAACTTCTTCCTCTATTCGATTCAATCCTACTCATTTATACTCTCTGAGCATGGAGAATTTAAAATCTAGGTTTATTAATGTTTGTATTGAATAAGAATATGATAATTCTCATAAGTGCTGGTACTCCTTCTCAAATCTGCTGGTACTCATTGTCATATATAATAGTTTTCATATATGTTCTGGGCATTGGATAAAAAGTTTGCAAAATTTATAAAAATACAAACATTAAGGAAGGTGCAGCCAGATGTATGTACCCTATAATTTGAGCGATAGAAAGTACTGCTTAGAAAACTCATTAAACCCTATGGATCAATCGTGAATCGTATCAGACGGTCAGACCTTTCTTCGCCTTTGGACCTGTGAATCTGCGGTTGATTTCCTGCCTAGATTCTGCCTTCTGGAAATGTATACGTTCTGAAGCGTTCTCTTCGTCGCCCTGTTCGGCTCTTCAAATGCTACTGGTCGTCTGGTCCAGAATTCCAGTATTCGACTTATTCTGCAGGTACTGTAAGCTTTTGAGTTTTGCTCATCTTTTTGTGTTTTTTCAACAAGAGATTTGGGTAGTCAATTGCATCTTTTATCTTTTATTCCTCTTTTACATTTACAATTCTATATTTAGTACTCATTTTTTTTTTATTTTTTGTTGCCCTATCCTTACCGTCCCTGCATCCTGTAGTTTTTAAAATTGCCACACATTTCCTAATCCAGATTGCAGAAACTCAACCATAGGAATGAAATGGAGTGGTTTGTGATTACCTATCTCCGTTCGCCCATTTTATTCATGATTGCTTCCTCTGGATGTGGGCGATCCTTCATTAGATAATGCGTTCATCGGCTCCATCATCCGTCCAAACATATTTTGTTGTTCATCGATCCTTCTATTTTGCTCTGCCATCTTTATCACAAAAGTTTTCTGCTGATCAATTAGTTCCTTAAGGGCTTCTTCCACAGATGCCATTTGCGTAGCTATCCTTCTCGTCAGTGCCAGATCTCGTTCTCTGATACCAATGTTACGGACGCGTGGAAACTACTCAAAATGAGAAGTAGAGTCTCGAGGCATGTAACAGAAAAGAGAGAGCAAAAGGGTTACGAGGGAGAGAGAGATAGAGAGTAAAATATTTTTCTTATTATCCTTCAATCCAACGCCACATCATATGTATGAGTCCACATCAGCCCATTGCACGCAAGAAGAGAAATAAAAAAGAAAATTATAAAAGGACTAGTGATAAGTAGCTAATGATGGGTTGGGCTGCATCACCTCATTGCGCCTCCCCTTGGCACCATGACAACTATGGGCCTTAGACACCCTTGCTATTGCCATCCAAAACTCTATAGAAATTAGGAAGAAATGGAAGTTTATCCTAATTGACTCTCTTAGCTCGACTAGCAATGCCACTTGTAATTTCATACTTGAACCAAATATTTGGAGTAATGATTTTTATGCATCACGAATGGTAGGTCAATGCTTGTAATTTTGTTCTCTAAATATTGTAAATGGACAATTAGTTCCTACCATCCAAAAAGAGAAGATTGACAGTTAAATTCAGACGATGGGAATTTATTTTAACGAACAGATTTGACAATATTTTTAAAAACAGAGTGTAATTTTCAGTTTTATAAATATTGGGACTACTTATTACATTAAAATATTTCATAAGAATATCTGCATTCTTATTTTTTTCTTTTTATATATTGTGTATACAACATTGAGAAATTTGTGTTTATAGATAAGATATACATAAATATAGTTAATTTCTCTTTAGTGTTAACGTTCTTTGCAGAAAAAATAGATAAAACACTATTGTACAGCTTGTAATCTCCATAACCCGTCCTGGAGCTTTCAATGGCATGTCTGAGCTTATCTGGAAGTCTCCTATTCAATCAAAAGCCTTATAGCACCAATTACCGCCCGCCACACTCCTTAATTGTAAGTATCACAATCTTTCCATCTAACCTCATTTTTTAAGTCTGTGGGAATTTTGATATATGTATAAATTCCTATTTCTGATGTGCATTCTGGAATTTGGATATGGAAGAGATGTAATGTGGCGGAGTCATTGAAGTTTGATGGTAATGGGAGACCATGTGTGCCTGTACAGATGAACAACGAGGCAACATTTTCTAGCTTCCTAACATCTAAACAATACCCAAGACTACCTATCCCTCAAAATCAGAGCGATACTAGAATCCGAATTTTCTCGGGGACTGCTAATCCTGCGCTTTCTCATGTATGTATTTTGATATCTGTATAGATCCAGTGTGAGTTCATGAGATACATCATATACTGATTAAAGTGCTGATTTATTTCTGTATGATTTTTCTGTATTAATGGTACAGTATATGCTATATAGGAAATTGCTTGCTACATGGGACTCGAACTGGGGAAGATCAAGATTAAACGCTTTGCAGATGGTGAAATATATGTCCAGTTACAAGAAAGTGTCAGAGGTTGTGATGTATATCTCGTGCAGCCCACTTGTCCCCCTGCCA